GCCTCGTTGAAGTTGGAAACCCTTCCTTTTCAGACGAAGAAGCGAGAACAGTGTATTGTTGAATGATTCTTCGAAAACCTTTACGAAAATCGTTCGATTTTGAAGTTTCTTGATGCGATTTTGGTGAGAGAATTGAGGATCGGGCGGAAGAATGGAGAGTTAGAGAGCAGAGGGAAGTAGAACTGTCGCTTGAAAGGTGAGAGAAAGAAGTAGAGAAGGCGGGACGGGTTGATGTCGTTGTCACGTCTGCTATTCAAATTGTCAGAGACATGATTACTATTTTGCCCCCGCGTGTAGTTACATTGCATGATCTGACGGCTGGAAAGATGATGCGAGGGACGGTGGATCACATGGTTACTGACGGTTATTGAGGGTTCGGTTACTGAGGTGATCCGGACCCAAAAATATGGCCGACTGCTATTTAGAGTCGGTCGACCAATAAGGATAGTGAACATACCAATTTTACATGCTTCGTGTTGTTTAGAACAGTCGACCGAGTTTTTTTACGAGTCAGCATAATTCAAGAATTGATCTCCACATCAACAAAATCGTAGCTAAATATAATGACACATGAAGGTCGACCGGAACACTAAATGATCAACCATCATTGAACAAATCAACCAATTTGAAAACACGATGCCTATACCGGCCAACATCTTTTTGATATATCTGGGTCGACCACCATATCGACTGCTTTCAAGGAAGACGCCAAGCAAAAAAAAAAAAAAAACTTGTCTGTTCCAACCTAGCTCTCCCTTCGTCTCCAATTAACGTTGGAGATAAGCCTGATTTAATTGATAGATTGGGATCATATATTTATACGTGCAAAGTTGGATGAATTTGTGAAGAATACATGAATATATACGTAGCTGTGGTTAGGTACATGAATAATCATAGAAATAATTTGATGTATGCTAGTTACTGGGTATAGGATGAATGTGTTGATGAACAGCGTTTGTGTATACATGAATTGAACAAACAAACAAATGTGGCGACTGAGTACAAATGTTGTCTTTCTCGACACTTGCCGTTGTAAGCGATAAAATCAGTACAATTTTGAGAAACAACATCTTTCGAAATACTATATTCAAGCCAATTACATAATAAACCAACTAAATTTCGAATCTATGCCTCTTTCCACTTATTTCGAAGCTGGATTCAGTGATCGTCACTTCTCAGAGAAGGAAGGAGCAGGAGGGTCGCTCGAATCTTGATCGGTTCTTTTTCTCTTCATGTGTTTGAATGATGGGTAAGGGGTGGGTAGCATGCATGTAGCCGTAATGAGGTTCATTGGCAGGTTTTGAACAGATAGTCTAATAGAGAATATGTTTATTATAATTAATAATATATTAGTTTCACAACTTCAAATCACATAAATTACTAAGGGTGGCTATACCGTCCGGTATTTTCGGGAATATAAGGATAAAAATTGGATTGGATACAGTCCGGTCTTGACCCGGTCCGGTCCTAATTCGATTTTGATTTTATATCGAGCTTGTGGGAATTTGAGTGGCCTGAGGCCTGAAAGGGTGAGGAATTGGTAAAGTTTTGGGTGTTGAGCTCTCTTATCTGTTCTTTATCCGGTTTTCGATCAGTCCGGTATCGAACGATTTTTTACCTCTAATCTAAGCCCGAAAATGAGATTGGATTGTTTACTATCTGGTCCCGTTTCGGTCTCGGTCCGGATTATACGGTCTGGATTTGGGTAAAACCAAAAAGTCTGGACCAAATAGTCACCCCTATAAACTTCCATCTTCCTCTTTTTTTGTCCTGCTTTTTATCCCACTCAAATTAGCATGACTGATAATCGTTTTCCCAAATTCAGGGATGTACGTCACGAACCTACCCGCGGCGGGTTTACCCCTGTCATCTGGTGATGACACTAAATAGCCAGTTCGAAACTTACCGAGCAGAACATAGAACCGGACAGACCACTTATTATTATATTAATTTATTAAAATTAAAACAACTAGCTTCTCTTGATTGATAGACCATTAAACACTCTGTCTCACACACGTACTGCGCGGTGATTATTATTACACTAGTGTTGTATCTGGTCCGTTGGTCGGTTTGTGGTCATTTGGGATTTTTTTTTTGTTAACGTAGGTGGTTCGATTTGTAGTATTGTGCACTGGTGTTTGAAAGAGTACCTTGATAGTTTATGTTTTTGGGAGCTCATTAATTACTTTATTTTTTATTGAATTTGTGTTTCATTTTATACTTAACCATAAGAAATTTAAGTTAGACAAGGAATGAAATGAAAAGCTATGTAGAATCTATATTCATGCCATGAGATATTAAACATCAATGAATCAAAACAACAATATTCAGCAAAGATCTTTATTTCGTTATATGTGAAATAATTAGCTTGCAAATGAGGCTTTGAGAATTAATTAATATATCAACATATCACTATTTTGATTTATACATTGTAGATAGTCATCTATTGAATTAAAAAGAAAAAATTGTACAGAATATGACTATAGATGTATTACATTTAAATAGTTTAAAGATACAAAATTTCAAGGAAAAGAGAAAATAATGTGGTATGAAAATAGATTATTTGGACAATTATGTAAAGCAAATCCAAAAATATTAGTATAGATGTATTAAATTTATATTTTTAAAAGCGACAAAAATGAAAAATATTAGCAAAAGAATATTTTGACTTGAAATGACCTTTGTAGGTTATTCAACTTTAGTTATCAGAATTCAAAATTAAGTAGTTAACATTTAACAATATGTTCATATTTTAAAATGTGTTATTAACTATATCCTATGTTTTCAAAAGCGGAACGGTTGTCGGGTAAAAATGTCAATGACTCACGATTAATATGGTTTATCATCATATAACTATTTTGGAATCATTAATGAAACTATTCATTCGTGTAAATAGTACAGATGTAAATAATAGCATAGTTATGTTGAAGAAGCATTTAAGTTGTTCTGTTGTATCAGATTTTACTTTGAATAACTTTCTCATAAAAACCTATCTCTTATTGGCAGGTTTGTAATGGTCCATGATCCCATGATCCCAACGAAACCTACAAATATCTGAAAATTAAAGATGAAAGTCAAAAGAACATTTGACATGGTTGCGATTCATTCAGTTTTCTTCGACTTTAAGCAATTACATAGAGTAAAAGAAAATTCAATTATTTTTTGTTTGATCTATTTCAACGTAAATATCTATTCGATAAAATATTGATGGAATTATTGTTTAAATTACGACTAAGCTTGTTAGAAAAGTCAATGAATTAAAAACAATAGAAATTGATTGTATTTTGCCTAGATTTCCTGTTTTTCTTCCTCTTCATGTTTCCCGAAGTCACTGTGAAATTAAGATTCTAAACCTTTCGAGGGTTGATACTTGATTTTTTATTTGTTTAACGTAAAAACCTATTGCGAAAATACCTATTCAGAAGGAACCCTCTTCCCAAACATCCATGCCACAACAATATATCATCTTCGCCATCTCGAAATCCAATTCGCACAGTCATTATCTCATTCGAGAGCTAACCAACTTTAGATCATAACCTCTGTTTTTTTTTCCTCATAATTATTATAATAACATTTGCCTTAAAACAAATCTTCGCAGAGAGCAAAATAAATCTACACAGACAGTGCAAAGTCCGAATAATTTATTATAAAAGCATTTACATTAAAACAAATCTTTCTTTCCCCTTAATCCTAATAGCATTATTATAATAAGAAGCAAAAATCTTCATGGGCAAAAGCAGGCGCATCCATTTCCATTATTCCCCTCGCAGTGGCAACCCACAGCGCAGTTATGCCGCGAACCGCACAGGTCCCGGTAGAAATGCGAGCACGAGTTGTCGTTGCAAACGTCGTCGCAGTTCTCTTCTACCCGACAAGATCCATTGATCACCATCGTCGTCGGAGCTCTCCTCCTGATGATGCCGGTCGACCATATCTCCGGTCGCCGGCCCAGATAATGTTGGCTGTGGTTCCTGCTCCTTGATGATGAGGAATCCAAAGAACATTATTATTTTATGCTATAAATGACGTACGTAGCATCGCGACGAAATTAGCTAGTAGTATGAAGTTCTAAACCTGAAGTATCGTACTAAACAATATGTATCTAATGGAGTCCTCTCGAACCCGTACTATGTTTTTATATCAAAGGTTCTCATACCATATCAAGAATTACGGAGTACTATAGATCCAAACTAGACGAAAAGACTACCTGTCGAGGGTCGTCGGAGGAGGAGCTGGAGCGACGTCGTTCCTTGATTCCGGTGTATGAACAGTTCTTCTCGATTCGGTCGAAAGATCTGCATATGGATGGATGGATTGGAATCGGGCAAATATAATTAATGAATGCTTAACGTGTTCTAAAGGGAAAGAAGAATCCATCAAGTAGAAATTATCAGTGAACAAGATAAGGGAAGGAAGGAGAGGAAGGAAGTACATGGAATGACGAGGAAGATGATTATATGCAGGGGAAGCAGAGCAATTAGCTTAGGAAGTAAACGAGGTGCCGCCATGGCTGTTGTAAATAAGCAAGCTGCTTGTTCTCTTCTCTTCTCTTACAATGTGTTGTTCAGCATTGCTGCTGCTATTTATTTCATTACCATCTGATGTAGTGTCAAAGACAAAGTCCCAATACTTTAGGTATCTCTTTCTCTCAGTGATTTTCTCTCATAAACTATATATGTGCTGTTTCAGATAATATTTTGTAATGGAAATTAGGTCAATTTCCTTTTGAACTATGGGTTTCCCTTCAAGACCCCCATTTTTGTAATGAATTCTGCAATGTAATTTTTAAAAAATTAACTTTTTAGGGTACAAATTAAATATGTATCTTAACGTAAAAGATGTTTTAAAATATTTTGTTTAATCTCTTCTCGTAAAGAGGCGGTGTAAGTTATATACATGAGAGTTTGTCAATAGATCAACTTATTACAAATAATTGATTGTTGATCTGAGTATGATTTGATGGAGAGGTTTTGTGTTCAAATCCGGTGGATTGTACAAATTTAAAACTCATAAATTGATTTTTACATCGGAGACTAATTGGTTATTAACTCGAGTGATGTACCAAGTAGATTTTGATAGTGATTACTTCTCAATTAAATAGGTTGCGTACAATTTAAACTAATATAAAATCCGTCCTTTATTGATGGACAATATGTTTGTAAACATCGGCAGTATATTTTCGTTTCGAATGGAACAAATTGCGGTATTTCTTTAGTCTTTACTATATATATATATATACACCTTTATTTAGGATGTTCACTCTATTCCTCTTCCCCAAATGACACCCATTGCCTCTAATTCTCGTTGACCATGAGTCGTTTTTTATTATTTCTGTATGAGGTGTTAGCCATCCCTTTCAAATTACATTGATCTCTACCTTTAACATTATCAGATACAAATAAGTGTACGTTGTTAAAACTCCCATTTACAACAATTTAGAATTAGATGGACAAATATGGCCGACTGCTATTTAGACTTTAGAGTCGGTCGACCAATCAAGATAGTGGACATATCAATTTTACATGTTTCGTTTTGTTTAGAATTGTCGATCGGGGTATTTTACGAATCAACTTAATTCAAGGATTGATCTCTACATCAACATAATCGTACCTCAATATGACACATGAAGGTCAATCGGAGCACTAAATGATCATCCGTCATTGAACAAATCAACAGATTTCTAAACACGGTGCATAAGGATGGCAACGGATCGGGTCGAAGGCGGATAGTGCATATCCGTTACCCTACCAAAAGTAATTGGGGTTTTCATCCATACTCATACCCACGTAATAATCGAGTAGAAAATCAAAACCATGCTCATACTTGCTCGAGTTTTGGATACCCACGATTATGCATGGGTACTAATTTCTCTTTATAACTCCAACCAACATGTTTAGATTCACACGTATGTTCACATTACATAAGTGAAAAAGTACGACAATAATTTTTCAGAATGAAGAAATTTCAAACAATAGAATTTTATGAAAATATTATATTTGTATGCTACAGATAAAATATTGTTGAAAAAATAATGATCATTTCTTAAAAAAATATATATTATTGTGTATAACCGATCAGGCTCGAATGGAATAATGAGAAAACCATGTCCATCCATTACCCACAATGTTCGGGTTCATATTTTACTCTTACCCACTAAAAATCATTATGATTCGAATTTCCACTACACGATTAGATCGGATTCGGATGGATATATGTTTTTGCCATCCCCAACGGTGCCTACACCAGCAACATTTTGTTATATCTGTGTGGAAGACGCCAAGCCAAAAATCGGAAAAAACCACTTCCCCTAAACCAACAAGGTAAATGATTATTCATATATATGGGTTTCCTTTTTGACATTCCCTAAACAATATCTGATTCCTCTTCCTCACGATGAGAAACCAAGAAGGCAAGAACGCAGCAAGTTGCTCCTGCTGCACCCGTTGGCGCCTCTTTTAGACTGTTCCTAGCTCTCCCTTCGTCTCCAATTAACGTTGGAGAGAAACTAAAATCTCCAGATAATTAAGCACAAACAATTCCAGAAACGAAGCCAGTAATACCAACTAACAAGACATCTCTAATCGATTCACCACTCTTGGTAGTTAGAGTGATGATCATAAAATGAAAAACGAATCCTCAACAATGCACGTCGTATTTCAATCGAACAAGATGCAAGCAGAGTACCGATACGAAGAATACCCTTGCTTTACTGAGAAAAACCATTATCAACACGAAGAACATTAGAAACGTCCTCCCTCCCAAGCACCGATAAGCTTTGCATTGACATACGACAACCCACCCTCAGTCTTGACTGGCAAACGTTATTAAACAACCCTAATCAACCTATCATGGACACCTGAAAACCTACCAAGTACGAGAAAAGGGTATGGATGAGAAACAGGTTCAGTTACCGTGGCGCTGAGGACACAGCCTCTTTCTGCACAAAATGTTTTCAGCCAAAACTGAACCTGAAGTTCAGTATCGGGGCCCATTCCCGTCTCTGTTTGGAGGGTAGCCATTATGGGGGAAGTTTGGTTGCTCGCCCTGGTAAGGAACACCTGCATTATTGGGCGGTGGTCCACCCTGAAAGTTCCCCTGCCCCCCATTCGACCATCCAAGATTGGCCGGCGGAGGCATCCTTCCAGCATTCGTCTGTGGCATTCCACCATAAGTATTCTGCGGAGCTCCACCCATGGGGTTGTGATGAGGTGGTGGCCTTGGAGGGCCTCCACCGTGCCCTCCCACATTGTTCTGAGGCCATCCTCCCATTTGATTGTTTGGCGGTGGAGGACCACCTGGCCGTCCCATGTTATGTGGAAGATGGCCCATTTGATTGTTTGGTGGTGGAGGACCACCTGGTCCCGGCATGTTACGTTGAGGATACTGTGGCGGAGGCTGTGGTGCACCTCGGCCATCCATATTCTGCATGCCCTGACCACCCATTGGAGGAGGAGGAGGAGGAGGAGGAGGAGGCCCCTGGTTGTTCTGGAAATCCCGGTTTGGTGCAAAGTTCTCTCTTCTCCTCTCAAAGTTTCTTGACCTATCAGAGTTGCGAGATCCGCTGTTACGGCGATTCCTCTCATTGGCCCTAGCGTTATTTCTCACCCATTCCTCATGATACTTGGGGTCATAGGGGACAGCTTGTCCATTGATGAATGGCTCCCCTGAAACAAAAACCAGAAGAGAAGAACATGAACATTGTATTATGACATAAAACTACGGTGGCTTACCAACCAAACATGACAACGCACTTAGCATTCGAGAAGTCTAGAACTAGAGCCGGCGTCCCATAAAGAGCAATCACAACATAAAACCTGACAAACAACTAATACATGTGACATAGCATTCTGATTCTGGTGAGACCATGCTGTTTCTCCCCTTCCCCATTTCCAATATTTCAAAAAAAGATGTGATCTAATATGTTAAGCAGCTGAGAATCTACTAATCAGCAGCTCAGCCGACCAAGAAAGGAATTACGTCTCTAAAGGCCCAAAACAAAGTATACTGTAAAGTAGCAGCAATTACACAGACTGATTCAACTAGCATCTGTTACGGCCCCCCTCCTCCCCACTAAAGCAAATGACATAATACAATGTTCCATCAACATATACTGATCAAATAAAGAAACATGTATTTACCTCCATAGTCTTTGTTCCTCACATCCAAATACGAGTCTGGGAGAACCCAGCGGACTCGTGGCAGCTCTGCATACAATAGACCAAACAGAAGGAGAATTAATTTTTTTTTTTTGTCATAAAGCTCTTCTACCCTGCTTCTTACCGAGAACTAATCAATCTAACACATCAAACCAAATTTTGCACACCTTTCAACTTGTACGACAGCTCTTCGGAGACAAGAGCCCCGAATGCAAAATAGTGCCTAGTTGAAACCGAGTAGATTTTCATCCTAGCTTCTTCTTCACTGCAGCAAAGAATTCTCATCACCACACTAAACTCAAGCACCCAAATCGAATAGGATAACACATAGAAGTAATAATCAAATAGCAATTGCCCAGCAACCCTCAAACGTATCAATCAGTGATCTATACCTGCCAACGACCTGAGCTAGGGTTTTGATGTAGCTGTCGATGATTTCATCCCTAGTAGGGTCTCCCTCCGGCTTCTCCAACACCACGAGCCAATGCTCAAAATCGCAGCCATCCAACAAAATCGTCTCCTTCGGAGGCCTGTTCGACCAGTTGGGGCTAGGATCGTTGAGCGAGGACGAAGTCGTCCGTGTAGCGAGACAGCGAACCGAGGCGGAGGCGGGGGAGAGATACGGGGTGACGGCGGCAAGAGGTCGGAGAGCGCGGAATATGGGGTGAGGTCGGTGAGAGGAAGCGGCAGCGGAAGAGAAGGAGCGAGAGAGGAGAGGGTCGACGGCGGCCCGGCGGCGCAGGACGGAGCGCGAGACGATCGAAGCGACGACCATGGCCGGAGAATGAACGAAGAAACCACTGTTTCGGGTGTAGGGCTTTACATTTGCTATTTATCAATCGGCTGGGGTTTACGGAATTACGGTAATATCATCAATAATGGGTTATAGGTATAATATGCCCCTCTACTATGACGTTTTATCAAATATGTTCATCTACTATTTTTTACATCAAATATGCCCATGTACTTTGAAAAAATTATCAAACATGCCCTTCTGTTAAAAATTCCATTGAAAAAATCGTCAATCATGGTTGAATTGAGATTTAGACGACCCGACATCGACAAATAGGAGGGAAAATGTCAGTTTTGTCCCCTGTTTTATTTTCTTTGGTCTTTTCAAAGTGAAATTATTTGAATGATTTGATTATACAAAAGAACCAAAAAGATTCTAAAGTGAATTTATTAGGGATATTTTAGTCATTTGTGTCGCCCAAACTAAAGTTCGGCGTTGGTTAACGATTTTTGGATTAAAATTTTAACAAAAGAGGCATGTTTGATCATTTTTACAAAGTATAGGGGCATGTTTAATGTAAAAAATAATAAATGGGCATGTTTGATAAAACGTCATAGTAGAGGGGTATATTATACCTATAAACCATTTGTAAAGAGTTAGTTAAGTGACGATATGGGCCCACAACAAATGGGATCATTAGTTGGGCTTTCTGGGCCTCATTACTACAGATTTGGCCTAATAGAGATACGGATACAATTTCTCTTCTTCTCAATTAGATAGATTCATATCCGCACGAGGTTGACAATAAATTCTTTCAAACCTTTACTATGTTTTAAAGCATTTTTGCTATAGTTTTTTGTCTTGATGTCTTGATGATACAATTTGTACAACTTGAAGTTGTACCGTTACATTATGGTACAACTCTAGGTTGTACATATATTCTTTTGTACAAATCCATTTTATGGTACAACCTGAATTTGTATTTTTATGTTACGGTACAACTTCAAGTTGTACCATAACTTAAAAGTACAAATCTCTTTATGGTACAATCTTTAATGTTATGGTACAACTCAATTTTCACATTAAAGCACCAATGCTTTAAAACATAGTAGAACTGTAGAAGTGCTCTTCAGTCATATGATATTAATATGTAACACATAGTTTTTATGTTGCATAGAGTCAAAAAAAAATGTTATCTATCATTTTATACAACACCTCCTATAGAGGGGACTGCTAACAGTTTCGCATTATAATATATTATAGGGTTAATATATTTGTATGGTCTGAACTTTGCACATAATAAACATCCTGTCCAATCTTTCAATTTATAACATCCTGTTCCAAACTATGCTTCAAAGTAACGAAATTGGCCAAACCCGATGTTTGACCGTTATCTTGGATGGTCAAACGCATTGACTAACGGTCAACGTGCCATGTTGCTGCCAAGTCAGCAATTTTTACTTAAAAGTATTTATATTTTCCGTCTATTAGCATTTTTATTTTTCATTTTAAACCAAAAGAAACAAAAAAAAAATTAATTTCATTTTGAACCAAGAAAAAGAAAAATGGTAATAGGTGGGAAATATAAAAAATTTAAGTGAAAGTTGCTGACTTGGCAGTGACGTGGCGCGTTGATCGTTAGTCAACGCGTTTGACCATCCAAGATAGCTGTCAAACATCGAGTTTGGCTAATTTCATTATTTTTATGTATAGTTTGGGCTAAGATGTTATAGATCGAAAAGATAGATCATGATGTTTATTATGTGCAAAATTCAGACCATACAAATATATTAACCCTATATTATATATACAACACTTTCCGTACTTTTTCACAACACTGTTCACGTGTTGCCAAAGGCCATTTTTCTGAGAAAATCACAGAGGTGCAAAGATAACAAGATTAACTAACTAGCTAGGGTGAAGAGAAACTAAACTCTCCACGTAAGCACAAACATCAGAAATGAAGTCACTAATCCCAACCAACTCATCACTCATAGGATCACCACCTTTGGTAATGGAGTGATGATCATATATGAAGAGGGTGTTACCAGTGGCGTGACTTCCTATTTCGCCATCTTCTTCCTCTTCTTCTTCTTCTTCTTTCCTTTCCGTAGTTCTTCTAACAATAATCTTGCCATCACACCAACTTGCCACAGGTTCAACAACCGAAGCAGGACACACGATCGATATGGTGAACGATTTAGTCCACACAGAATCGTTGCTGAGTACCCATACGTTGCATTTGAAACACGGTAACTCGTCCTCTTCGGCGTCAATGTTACTAAACAACCCCAGCGACTGAACGTCTCCTTCGCCATACACTACAAGGCTAGACACCCAACCATCCTCATGGAGTGGTGGAAGCTCAATTCTTCTAAACACGATATCGTTACTACTGAGCGTATCGGTGAAGTCCATTGCAAGAACGAACCAGCAACAAGCTTCGGCTCTCGCGACACGCAGCGAGACCACTTGGTAAATCGATCCTCTCAACGCCACTGGGTTGTGCAGGCCTTGACTTGACATGCTTCCTTTCGGTATGTTACTTGCTAATTCACGTCGATATGTGTGTGTTCGCCATCCCCAACGTTTCATGCTGAAAATCTCGAGCTGATAAGACAGATGATGGGACCAATCATCGTCCACGAGGCTGGCGATTTGAGACACCATGTAGTCGTTCGTTGCGTGATTGTATGCAAACCCTAACTCAACCACCCTACGAAATTTCGATGAGTAGTCGAGTGATGGTGATGTTGAGGGAGGGGGCGGGAGGGTTCGATATTGCTTAGTTGCAGGGTTCCACAACACCAACTTATTCTTCCTGTGGTGGTCATAATGAAGACGAAGGCAGATCAAACCGTTGTGAGAGCCCAAGAGTTCTACGTAATGGAACATGTCGCCTTCATCATCATCTTCATCGGATGCAAATGTCGGAAGTTGTTCTTCCTTGCGACGAATCCAATCTTGAACATCGTGTTGCCTGCTCAATGTCAGCATCTTGCCAATGAGTATTGTGTCATCTGTGCTATAGTTTCCAGTGAGGAGGGCGATACGGCAGTGAACATGCGACGATGAGTTTATATGAGCGGTTACGAATCTAGGGTTTTCGATGAGAGCCTTCAAGCTCCTGGACAGGAGCTTGAGACGGAGCAAAGTTCGAACCGGCAGTTTCACCAGCACAGCTTCCACCATGTGTTCAGGAAGCTGTACCGATGTTGCTTCCGATGACGATGATGACAACACCATGATGAGTTGCTATGATCGCCTGGACTATGGATTGATTTGATCTCTCGTTCATGCATGGGAAAGCCCATTCATGGATGTCTTATAAGCCTAAATTGTGCCTTTCACCAAATTTAGCAGCAATCCAAAATATTGCCGAGAGAGAGAGGCACAGGATGATGCCATGATCAAGTCCACAGAACCATCTGCCAAAAAGAGAGGGAAAGAAGAAAAAAAAAGGTTGGTTTTGGAGTACTGGTAGAAAACGGAACAAGAACCGAAAAAATGAAAGGAAAGGAAGCAGAAAACTGTTTGATTTTAACCGCCAGTAATTTCTCATCATTTACCAACAATAGCAAGAACCAAAAAAATGCTGTATCATTCTCAGTACGCGACATGGAAGGGGGGGAAATACACATAAAACTCAAGAACCCTTCAGAAAGGAGAAATATATAAACACCTCTACCCTTGGCTTCTTTTTAGATCTGTAATTCTAATTTCCCATGCAGGACCAGGTAAAAAAGCTTAAAGACACCCCAATGCACCATTAAGAAACCATTCGAACGTTTGATCCCCCTCACGCGACTGCATTCCTAGTTCCTAACAATGCCTGCAATTCTTCTGCGATTCGATCATTCATTCTAAACTGACTGACGAATACGATTAGCATACTGTATTCCTCAAACTTGCTAATGTTGATATATGTGTACTGATGACCAAGGGGGGATCCTATCAATTAACCAGAACCAAGTTGTTCATGCATGCATGCAATGTTCAATATCATTCGTGATTTACTTAGTGGGGGTGAGAATCACTGACCTCTGGATGGCATGACAGGGCAATAATGGGTGGAAGGCCGTTCCTCAATTCGGAGAGTGGGAATCGAAAGGGGGTGCTAGTCCAAGCCGTTCTACGTACACCACCATCTTCTCGGAAGCTCGGGCCAAGAGGAAGATGATGAAGGGTGATCTCAGGCACAATTCCAGCTTGGGAGACTTGGGAGACGAGTCCATCGACCTCACCCCTACACCTCGTCTACATGAACACCATCGTCACCCTACCGATGAGTCCGTGGTGAGTAGTAGTCTCTTCACGTCTTCTGCATACCCATAGCCTTACCACATTTCTATTGTGTTCTATAGCATCATGCATGTTTTCTGGATGGATCCCCCTTGGCCAATCTGTACTAGAGCCCTGATACGATGAGCTCCATGTTCTATATCTTAGGGATCCATATGGATCATCTCATATATATCGACGATCTATACGAGACGATCTATAGGTTCAGGTACTAAAATATGAGTTGATGGGTTTCTAAACCATTATAATTTAGCACCTGAAAGTTATGTACCTTGCATTTTTGTACCCGAACCTCCACACAGTATACGTAATGTTATGCATCATCATTCATCATTGATATGAAAGAAAATATGACGACCCAGTTCTCCTAATCCCTGCAATACTCATTGTCATGCAGAAGAGGAGGACTATATTGACCTACATTAATTGTTGTATAAGGCCATGAAAATGGTAGATTCCAGGACAAGCAATCAGAATCAACCGAACTAATGCGGGTCTCTCCGGATTGGCAGATTTCCAGACCAGATTCTTCCTTGTATATACAATGTAAGGTCCTCGTGTAATATAAATCTTACTTCTATAGTAATTTGTCTTCTCCTTGTTGAAGATTTCAACAAGGAAGATCTGAAGCAAGACATATCAAAAGGAGATCGAACCTTTGTACAGCGAACAAAGATCTATTGATGCTAGATACACCCACCCAATTTACGTTATTTGTATATAGTGGAAGTTCAGATACTAGTATGCAGTTGCTGAGCACAACTACAAGTATAGAAGACCTACATAAAAATATTTAACTTACGGATTTGGAACGCTTTACGGGAGCGTTAAGTGAAGCTAGATATGAATCATCTGCTTTGTCAACTCCGCTGAAAAGATAGTTGAAAGGAGGCATTTCTACGTACTTCCCAGAACCAGGGGATACCTTGAGTTCATCATTTATCCAAACTACTCTTCCTCCAGCAATTGTCACTTCAACCTTTCCCTGAGGACACCATAGGATGAACATGTCAAGACAATACTTTCATCTAACATGTGGATAGAGACAATGAGTGCAGTGTCTTAAATGCATGCGTTGACCCTATAGCATAGGAGTTCTCATTATAGAGTCTAGGGACAGTGTCGTTAATAATGCTTAATGAAATCAAAGGCAAAATGAGTATAATGGTAAAACTGATTAGAGTGGTTGAAAGTCCTGCAAGGATGTGTGCATATTATACATGCACTGATGAAATTGAACCTGTAAAGAGAATGGGGCCATATCCTTAGGGCTATTTTACCCTCATCCTAGACATGCGCCAATAATGAATCAAAAGCAATATAGTGTTGTTTTCTGCATGATATGGCATCGATCACTATGATAGGAAGTTGGAAGAACCTTGGCTACAGGTTAATTTTCACATATTAATATTTTACTCAACACTTATGGTTCATTGCCTGGATCAAGCATGGTGCTTCTCTAACATCATGGCAAAGCATCTTCCGTTGAATTACCTTGCCCCTCCTGCCCTCGTAGACATTGGTATCTGTTCTGGAATGGTGAGACCTAGCGCTTATCCCAACACTGCTATTTGGATTGAAAATAATTATGTCGGCATCAGAACCAGCTAGAATTGCTCCTTTTCTTGGATATATGTTGAAGATCCTGGCACTGCGCGAAGTCCATAGCAGTCAATCAATTTTATATTTGGTACAATGGTGCAACATGGATGGAATAGCTAACTTTATATTCTCTACATAGTTCCCCAAAACTCAATGGAAAATTCTAGACGGATCAAATGAGATCATACCATTCAGTGCTTGTTATTCTGACATAGTCAGTAACTGACATTTGCCCAGTTTCCTGAAAACAAAATAGTGGCACTTTAGGATATTAGTTATAAATGGAGGCATCTCAGTCACAAAGTCAAAGATGCAATCATGTAGCTTACCACCATTGTATCCCACACCAAATGCATTCTCTCCTCAATACCTACATTGCCAATTCTCGATTGTCATGTTCAGCAGAAATAAAGAACTAAATTTGATGGAGTTTGCTGATATAGGAAGGATAGGGCCAACTCTCACCATTAACACCATTTGGTATTTTGCGGAAATCATCAATTCCAAAAGCTTTCTGAGTAGAGTTAAATGCGCAATGATCCGTTCCAACAAGCTGCAAGATCAATAATAGTTAAGAGTTTGATGGTCATTAAAATTTGTTGGTGAGTATGTAATAAGCTCTCACAATTGTATGGAGACATACAATTTCCTAAGCAACCACCTTTTCCCAAGATATAAGCTGGATATACCTGAAGAATCCCGGTTGAAAGTGCAGCTTGCAGGGCCTTAGCATGTCCAGGTGCCCTAATGGGAGGGCTCATGACATATCTGATACACACCACCACAGTATTAGCTCATCAAACATACAAACTTCCCATGAAAAAATAGCAAAAATACAAAAGAAGAAACCACAACAATAGATGTAAAGTGCTAGTTCTTGCTTTGAGGCAATGCTGAAGTCTGGATCCCAAAGCTTTGAGTCATCCAGGACTAGTCCAGAAACCACGGGCTCCCCAACAACTTTCTGCCCTGCACTTTTTGAAAGAAAAATCAAGTTTCCGTTTACAACAGTAAAACTTACTCAAATGCCATCAGAAGCTATGCAACTAAATTGGATCTCTATATGTTGTATAATGTAGAACCAGGTGACTTGAAGATAACATCAAAGAACATAGTATTTATGAATTCTAGACCAAAATGCAAATAAATAACCTTATTAATCAGTATATCGCATTCACAAAAGGAGAGGATACGCAAATGGCACAGGCCATAGGATATTGATGATGCATGGGCTTTTTCATCAGAACTACGTTCACTAGAACACAATAATATTTCTTTAAAAATAGAACATCAATTGGACACCCCATATTTGAATTGTGTTTTTAGCCATTACAAGTTTTCCAGCTAAAGAATCTAAATACATGGTATCTCTGTCGCCCAATTGAACGACTACCATTTCCTGGGAAAGATTCATTTCACAGGCACTTTTCACTCTCATACCATGTTTCAAAACCAGCATACACTTAATTTGAACAAACAACAAGGAAAATTGTTGTTTGCACTTGCAACAACTTTGAAGAAGAAAAAAAATAAGGAACAAAAGGTTTGAGACAGGTTAAACCAACCTGATTTACGGGCTTTAGCTATTTCTTCCATTGCATCAATGCTCATCACATGAACAACATAAAGTGGTGTGTTCACAAAACTTGCTAAACGAATGGCTCGGGCAGTTGCCTCTGCTTCCAACTGCATGTGCCAAAACAAAGAGTAAATTTAGAATCCAAGGAGATAACACAAGCAAAAACAACAAGCAGCAGTTATCCGACTATGGCATCTCACTGCAAAAAATTTACTGTATAAAGCTACTTCCGTAAACCAGTGAATTTGCTCTCCAAGGAATGATGATGAACAAGATCATGTTATTTAACGGAAAACACCAAATCAAAATTACTAAACTATAGACCCACTTCGAAGGATCAACTATCCAAGCATCATAATATTAAAATCGGGGACCAGCAATTGTACCAAAGAGAAATAAAGATAAGAACGAAAAATAGTATGAAGTGCGAATCAGTGAAGGTATAGAGGGTGTGGTAGGCATACCACTGGGGGTCTGGAAAGAGCATGTCCCTCAGGACCAGTGATACCGAGCTCTATCATCCTATTCTGTCCTTCGAATACAGCATCTCCATTTTCAGCATGAACCATTGCCAATGCACCAAGAGACTTGCACCGCTTCAATCCGTCCAATAACAGTTCATCACTAATCATTAGAGACCCCTTATAAGCTAGGAAAAACTTGAAAGAGTTGATCCCTGCAAATCCCAAAAAGTGCAAAGCATATTTTACCATACTCATAAGCACGCTAAATTTCCAGCATTGACTAATCGAGCCGAATTTAACCACACAACAAACCTTTCTCTTTCACCATAATTTCCATGTCCCTGGAAACATCTTCATCCCACTTGGTAATCGCCATGTGGAAACCATAGTCCATGCAAGACTTATGTGCCTTCCTCTCATAAGCTTCAATACCAGCCGTTAAGCTGCCATTGACTGGTATAACAAAGTCAATATGCATGGTGGTTCCACCTGCTAATGCTGCAGCTTGGCCGCTGAAAAAGTCATCAATCGTCTCGGTACCCATGAACTCCATAGCTAAGTGCGTGTGAGGATCAATCCCCCCTGCAAATTAACAGGATTAAGTTTCCCTGACAAAATAGGATAAAATCCACCAACTAACAGTGCCCAAAATAGCATTGAACATTCTAGTAGTGATATGGATGCAGTTAGCAGCAAACTGAAAATATTCATTAATAGAATTCCCCATAGAGCAGAATATACAGCAGTGCTTAAGTAACCGAACCTGGCATGACGAGCTTCCCTGTGGCATCCAACACTTGCACATCATCCCCAACCTGCAATAGTAACCAAATCAAGGGCACAAATAGAGATATGAAACAACGAAAATTAGACAGCATCGACACTAGAAGAACACAGAAACGAAACAGACAAGGAAATTTCAAAGACAGCAAAAGACCAACCTTGAGATTCGGCCGGACAGTAACAATAACTCCATCCTGCACATAAACATCTGCAACCTCTTGATGATGAGCATTGACGACCGTTCCTCCCTTGATCAGCAGCTTCGCCGACGACAACGGCGGCGAAATTCCACATCCGGCTGCGCCGTACAGAGCTCCAGCCTCGCAGAACTACGGAAATCAGAGACAAGAAGCGGGGAATTGAATTAAATCACATTCTGACCGGGTGAAACGAGTAATCGCTTCGAACTTGCGGGAAGTCAACGACTATTGAGGGAAACCAAACAGCATGAAGAGAACAGAGGCGTACATCGTTGGAGTTGCTGTGAGAGATTGAAGCGGAGGTGAACAGAAAGAGGGAGATGGAGAAGAGATGGAGGAGATTGAGTTTGAAAATTGGAAGAGCCATTTGAAGTCTCTGGTTACTGAGCTTGCCAAGAGAAGCGTACAGTTATTGTCTGCTTACTAATGTCAGCGCTCAGGGGATCTTTATCTAACTTTTTTTTACATTATGTTTCCGAAGGGAGGAAAAGGAGGGGAGGTGAAGGAAAATTAGGAGGGGAGGGGAGATTTGGAGGTTAAGGAAATGGGAAGGTAAATTGTGTTTTATGAAGGAAAGTGGGAAGGAAAATGTGTATTGGGAATTGTGATGGATATGTTATTGTATTGGGTATATAATAGTAAAATAATTTGATTATATTGAGATTATTTTTATTGGTTATGAATTGTGAATTAAATTTGTACTTTTTTACTAATTTTGTTCATTATTAAAAATCAATTTGTACTTTCTTGCTAATTTGGTTCACGACTAAAGAAAAATTTCTCCATTTAGAATATAGTTCATTTAAAATAGTGTTCATTTTAACTCGAGTAAACATATAACTAGGAGTTTAATTACAATTATAAAAATATCAATCAAATAATAATATTTTATTAGGTAATCCTAACAATTAGAGAGCTTACAATAAACAATAATTAATTTTTTTTGCCTTATCATTACACCCAACGTGGTGTAGACAAAAAGCGGAAAGAGAAAGAAGCAAGAGGAAAAAATTAATTACAAGTGTTGAAATAGTCTTTTCAGATTTAGGTTACATCAAGAACAATTTTAAAAATAGAATATGTGATCAGTTCATGAACGATTCTGGTAAGATATACAATTTTTTTGAGCAGTATAGACACCAAGTATATTTTACAATTATTTTCGGATATGAAAACACATCATGGACATTTTTTTAACTCGTACGATTCAGTTATTTTCTAATATAAGAAATATTTATTTTTTATTAATTATTTAATAATTATTTTTTTAAAAAGAGAGCACCCCTATGTAAAATTTCTGGGTCCGCCCCTGTGTATATTCATTTAGAATTCACTAGATTCTAGCATTTAATTGCGAGTTGATTTTCAATTGCTTTTATTTTGAATATTTCCGAGAAGATGTAAACAAATAATTTGACTATAGTTTGTAGTGTTATGAAATGAAATGTTTGGCGTAATGAGTTTTGTGAGTAATGAGTGTTGTACTGTGACCGAAGTGATATTATTTTCAATTTAAAATAATGTTACATGTAACTCATGTCAATTAATTATGTAATTCGAGTAATGAGTTTTATACCGTAAGCCAAGCCATATGATCCTATAATCATCACATATATCCTACAACAATGTTATTAACTAATCTGACAACAATGTTGGTAAATTAATCTGACTTGTTTTTATACTCGCTAGTAATTAGAAAATGATTTCATTAATCTAGTTTTAAACTATTTCGTCTGTTACTAACCAATCAAATGAAAAATATAAAGAAAATAATTATAGCTTCCGCCACAAACAAAATAATAAGTAGAATTATCTTCTCTATTATTTTTCGTAACCCCTACGTTAAAACACCTAAAACTTTTGATTAGTAGCTAATAATAAAAGAATAATAGTGGTTGGGGCAAAAAGAAAAGAGAAAAACAATAAAAAAGGCAAGAAGGTGGAACGGAGGTTTTCTCTCTAAAATGGAGGGCCGGCCTCTACAGTGAATTCCCCGCTGGAAAACTTCTCCTTGTCACTGTATCAACGCTCGGAAACAAGGGAAAGTATCTTGGTTCCCGCAATTTCCTCCCATCCTTTCCTTTCCCTCCACTTTCTTCTCTTCCACTATGTTTCCGAAGGAAGGGAGGAAAAGGAGGGGAGGTGAAGGAAAATTAGGAGGGGAGGGGAGATTTGGAGGTTAAGGAAATGGGAAGGAAAATTGTGTTTTATGAAGGAAAGTGGGAAGGAAAATGTGTATTGGGAATTGTGATGGATATGTTATTGTATTGGGTATATAATAGTAAAATAATTTGATTATATTTAGATTATTTTTATTGGTTATTGTTTAAGCCACAACACTCCGCACCCAGTTCTCTCTCCTTTTGAGAGTGATCGCCGCCAGGCGCTCAGATCCTGCACAGATAAACGCCTAGAGGACTTGAATTGCCCGTTAGCACTCCGAAGCTTAAGTCAGAGCCTGCTTTTTAGAGAGAGAAGTAAGCTCAGGATCTTAGTGAGAGAAGCCAACCTGCGTAAATGCTACCTACCGGGTACTATTTATACTGGTCGAGGTCCCAACGATCTTCTTGGCACTTCAGCCCACGTCAGCTCTTCACTTAATGCATGGTACGGTACAGCAGTCAGGCGCCTATACGTGGCCGCTTCAGAACGCCCCGAGGGGGGCGCCCAGCAGGGACCACAGCCGCCATGTGGCTCGTTTCCCTGCTCGCCCTTCCGTACCCCTTGTCCTCATGCCTCTTTTGTCGTCATGCGCCTGCCCTACCTTGAGAAGCCTAACTCATTGTTTGGGCCTTTCCAAACCTAAACTATTTCTTTTTGGGCCCGTTTTACTATTCCCTCCTTATGGGCTTGGGCCTGTCTATACTTCCCCAACAATTGCCCCCCAGTTAGGCGCTCATAATCGACGGGCGCCTAACTATTGACCGATACCCCTTCTTAACACACCTTTCGCCATCATGCCCACTTCTCGTACGCCCCCTCAGGCCCTTTCTTTATGCGCTCTTGCCCCCCCTGTGTCCCCCACTATGCCGCTTCATACCAATTCTCTTCAGCAGGCGCCTATGGACTTCCACATAGAAAGCGCCTAACAGGTTATACCCGCCCCCCTCACCGTGCGGTTCAAAATTCGAAATTTGAATTGTTTTTTTTTTTTTAAATTTGAAACGGACGGTGATGATCTAATCTCACGAGAGGGCGCGTCTTCCAACACTGGCCGTTGGACTCCCCACCCATATATATACTTCGGTCGCTTTCCTCTCCACTCATTCTGACGAAATCACTCTCTCTCTAACTTTATCTCTCTAAACGCGGCCGCCTGTGTGCCTGTTGTAACATAAAATAACAAGGCAACATGTCTCGCCGTGCCGACTCAAGCGCCCCATCCTCTGACGCAACGAAAGATACTGGTTCGGCGCCCGACGTTCTGTCGGTGCTGGAAAAGCATTTTTCTCCGGATCCCCTCCGCGAGTCGGGCGGATGGACGCCTCGCGCCAAAGCAGCTGCTACCTCGGATGCATCGGCAAGGGACACTGCCCAACGATCCTGTTACCTCGGAGGCGCCTACCTCAAAAGATCACTCGATCGAGGGAGAGGAGATTCCCCGCCCGAAGGCGCCGACAACAGATGCTGCACCCGACGCGGCGGCACCGTCACATCCCACCCCAAGTAAGTGGTTCAAGAAAAACCCTGAACCAAGACACACATTTTTTTTTTAGGCGCCCAAAGCCATTAGGACTTAGCATTGACAATGGCCGTTTCCTCAAACCTTTTAGGCGCTGCGCCCAGACCCTCCCTATCGGCTTCCTTAGTGCTGTCGCCGATGTCCTCTGATTCAGGTGCCCCCGAGGATGGATCCGTCAAGATTAGGAGGTGGGTTGATACTTTCCCCTCGGGGCAGGCGCCAGCTGATACCAGTCACTTGTCAGTGATCGAAGCTGGTCCTGATCACGTTTCTACTGTGAAGGCGCTTGAGTTAGAAAACTTGGCCGTCTCCATGCAACTTCCCCTTACCTGGTCCTTTGCGCCTGCACCCCGCGCGGCCCGAATTGGTATTATTGGTCCCCGCTGGCTCGGTATCTACCGAGAGTATTTTCGATTTGGTCTCCGCTTTCCCCTGGATCTGGTTCTTGAAGGCATATTGTCTACATGCAAGTGCTCCATTGGGCGCCTCTCCCCCTCCGTTTTTCTTGTCCATATTTTATTTAGACTTAAGTGTAGGCAGCATAACGTCGAGCCGTCGTTTAACCTTTTCCATCATTTTTTTAAGATGCAATATAGCGATAACTTCCTTTCAATTCAGAGGCGCCTAGACATCCCTGGCCACTTCTTAGTAGAGGCGCCCAAACTTGGTAGAGAGTGGTTTAGGAGCTTCTTTTTTGTGAAACCACGCAAAGAGTCTTTTTACGAAAGTGGCGCCTCGTTCACGAGAGGATGGGTGATGGGTGACCATGAGGCGTTCAACGTCGAGGTATCCCTGACGAAATCGGAGAAGGAAGGCGCCCGCCTTATTTCCTTGCATCCTGTTTGCCTTAAGTCTACTGAGGCTCGGACGCCTCTCCTACACGAATATTATCGTGACGGTGGGCTCTTGCTTTGAATGCGCCTGCTCTCTACCCTTATTGTTTTGCATGTCTTTTTTATATGTTCCCTTTGTACTTGTTTGGCAGGTTCGGACTTCACCTCAGTCGCAACCCTGATGAAGTCCCAGTTTGCAAAGCTGGGCTTGGTACCCAAGAAGGCGCCCAGCTCAAGGAAGGGTGCCAAGAAATCCGACGAGGGGAGTTCCAAATCGAAGAAATCTGCTGCTGCTGCGAAAGAGGCGCCTAAGTCTACCGAGGGGAAGGACAAGGGGCGCCCAACCAAAAAGAACAAGTCTCCCAAGAAGGTTCAGACAAAGAAAATTCCCAGTCCTGCGGCTTCCGATGCTGCGAATGACGCATTGGATACATGGGAGGCGCCCCACGTTAAGGAGGGCACTGACAGCTCGGCGCCTGTTATTGACTTGCTGCAGGGGGATGACGTTGCTGAAGATGAGACACCCTTATCTCAGAGATTGAAGAGAAAATTAGAGGGCGCCCAAGTTGAGCTGAGCAAGCGCCCCCGACTGGACGACGATGCGAAACTGCCCGATTCACTGAAGAAATGGCTTCAACCGCCCAAGCATAAAGTGACCCTGGTCTGCTCGGATCGTGCTGCATTGGAGCGGAGCGCCGCCGTCCAAATGGCACTGGGCGCTGGCGACGTGCTCTGGGCGCCCCTCGAACTGGCAGCCGCTGACCCCCTGGCCGAAGTGTGCCTATTGAACGCCCAAGTAAGTTGACAGGCGCATGTCTATCGTTTTTGACAGGCGCATATCAATTGTTTTTG